ACCCTCGGCGGGAGTGCCGCCGTGCTCCCAAGCGGCACACTGTAGCAGTGTGCCACCGGGCTGGCCCAAAAATAAATTTTTAATTTGCGTTTCTCTAAATACTAAGTAAGACTGTTTAGTTTTCAATGTGTTTGTTTTATGTTCTTTACCTCTTTCCAATTATGTTTTAATAAAAAAATTTTTTTAAATGAAATTAGTTTGCCCTGTTTCTTTTTCCTTTTTTTTGTCTTTTTTCGTGACCGGCAACGGATCGCAACCCTCAGTGTCGCACCTGCACCGGACCGGGACTGGCAACGGGATCGCAAACCTCGGTGCTGCACCCGCACCTCGCTCAGCCAGTGAGCTGCCGGTCTGCATGTGGGATCTGAACCCTCGGCGGGAGCACCGCCGCGCTCCCAAGTGGCGCACTGTAGCAGTGCACCACCGGGCCGGCCCGTGGATACAATTTTTTAAAGAAAAGATTTGACATCATAACATACATACAGTTTTAAATCTTTTTCAACTAGCATATAGCATGAACATTTTCCTGTGTATTAAACTCAGACATGATTTTGAATGGTTGCATAGGAGTCCATAATAGACTTTATCTAGCCAAGCCCTACTGATGGACATGGAAGCTACTCCCAGTTTTTCACTATTAGGAACAACACTGTGATGAATGTGAGTCTTTGCATGTGATATCTTTACTTGTATGAGAGGAATTGCTGGATCAAAGGATTTAAACATTTGTAAATCTCTTGCCAGCTGCACACTGTAGCAGTGTGCCACCGGGCTGGCCCAAAAATAAATTTTTAATTTGCGTTTCTCTGAATACTAAGTAAGACTGTTTAGTTTTCAATGTGTTTGTTTTATGTTCTTTACCTCTTTTTGATTCTACAACACAGTCATTATCAAAAATATGAAAAAGAATTGTAAATTTAAAAATGTTTAATTACACAATATTTTTCCTTCTAGAGATAACCATTAACATGGAGGGGGTTTTCTACCACGTCTTTCTCCGTGGATACAATTTTTTTTTTTCCTTTTTTTGTCTTTTTTCGTGACCGGCAACGGATCGCAACCCTCAGTGTCGCACCTGCACCGGACCGGGACTGGCAACGGGATCGCAAACCTCGGTGCTGCACCCGCACCTCGCTCAGCCAGTGAGCTGCCGGTCTGCATGTGGGATCTGAACCCTCGGCGGGAGCACCGCCGCGCTCCCAAGTGGCGCACTGTAGCAGTGCACCACCGGGCCGGCCCGTGGATACAATTTTTTAAAGAAAAGATTTGACATCATAACATACATACAGTTTTAAATCTTTTTCAACTAGCATATAGCATGAACATTTTCCTGTGTATTAAACTCAGACATGATTTTGAATGGTTGCATAGGAGTCCATAATAGACTTTATCTAGCCAAGCCCTACTGATGGACATGGAAGCTACTCCCAGTTTTTCACTATTCGGAACAACACTGTGATGAATGTGAGTCTTTGCATGTGATATCTTTACTTGTATGAGAGGAATTGCTGGATCAAAGGATTTAAACATTTGTAAATCTCTTGCCAGCTACTGCAAACTTACTTTCAGAAAGATGGCACTGTTGCTGGCCCTTGAAGAACCTCAATCCCCCTCACCTTCTCAGACTTTTTGGTCAGGATATTGTGGACTTTTGTTATTTTTTAACATAGCAGACTTCAAGAGACAGAGGAAAAGACTTCTGTTCTTGAAAGGAGGTGGAAAGCTCCTGTTTAGCAGAGAGAAAGGAAAAGAGGAATAAGAGAAGTTTTTTCTTTTTTTTTTTTTTTTGTCGTGACCGGTAAGGGGATCACAACCCTTGGTGTGGTGTCACCCACACCGCGCTCAGCCAGTGAGCGCACCGGCCGGTCCTATACAGGATCCGAACCCGTGGCGGGGGAGCTCCCAGCGCTGCACTCTCCCAAGTGCGCCACAGGGCCAGCCCAAAGAGAAGTTTTTAAAAGTGACCAATAACATCACAAAAGATTGATTTTAAGGGGACAGAGACTACTTAGCCCCTAGGTTGGGGGCCACAGGAGAGGCAAGAGAAGGAAGGGCAGATCCCTGCTCTCAGGAGAGAGGGGTATCTTAGAGGGAGAAGTAGTAGCTATGAGCAGAACCACCACAA